CTATCACTGATCTAAATGTACATGCCTTAGCCAATGCTGTGCCTCCTTGGAGCCCATACAAAATTCCTTTCAGTGTATGTCATCTCAGATGTCAATATCTTAGCGGGTCCTTGTGGGTTAGTATTGTTAGTAGACTTGCTTGAAGGCGCTTCTCCAAGTGTTCAACATCCTATCCTCGGCAGTTGAAGCGCGTCTACCGTCTCTGGCACAAGGTAGTTGGTGGGGGTTCGATTAGGGTTGAGGCGGGGTAGGGTTAATCTGTGTTGGTCGACGCGGTCAAGTGGTGTCGAGTCGGCCCGTGGCGATTGCAAACCGTATTGTGGCTCGCACTGCTTCCAAATTCGGCTTCCAGTTCTGGTCATCCAAAGGCGATTTTCCGCCTAGGAAAAAAGATATGTTGCCTCGGTGGGTGAGTATGGGTACATTGCAGCATTTCCGTCCGGTGTGTGGTCCACCTCTGACATCGAAAGAGGAAGTGCTCCACGGTCTCTCTGGCTTGTCCACATGCGCATTGATCTGACTCTGCGACATTGATTCGATGGAGATATCCGTTGAGTCTAGCCATGCCAGTCCAGAGTTGGGCCAGCGCGCTCGCTTCTTTCCACGATAATCGATCATACAACTGCCGGGTATGTTTTCCTGGGAGTGCTGCATCCACTCGTTTGGAGTGTTTCCCTACATTCTCTGGCAGGCAATTTTTGGGGACTGTTTGGGGTCGTGAGATGTTCAGTGTTGTCGACTTCATCCGTGGGACCTGCGCTTGCGGGGTAGCATCCTCTTGCGTCGCGGCCCGAGCCTGCTCTTTCGCTAGGCCTAGCAGTTGATTACCTTCGCTGGTCGGGACCCAACAGATGCTGATGCGGTTCTCGTGCTTCCGTAGTCTCTTGATCAGCTTGTATGTTTGGCAGATGTGTTCCTGGCCCGATTGTTGTCGAGGATTCTTCAGCGTGAGAGCCGCGGCTTTGTTGCTCGTGAGCAGCGTGACCCTGCACCGTTTCAGTCCCCGTAGCGTGCCCAGTGCGTATGCCATTGCTGCCAATTCGCCGGAGTATGGGTTCTGCTCGGTCCTTGCGCCCAGCGTGACGGATAAAGTTTTCAGCCTCGGTTTTCGATACCGAGGTGGCTGCTTCTCAATCGCCACGCCAAATCCTACCATTTCATTCCGCGCCGAACTGCTGACCGCGATTCGCATGGCTCCGCCCGCTTCGGTCTGTGTCTCCGGTACAAGTATTGATTTGTATTACTAAGTTGGGCACACTTGATAATACATTGTAGAGGTGGCAGCATGTCTACCTACATAGACCCTCTACCTTGCATCCCCTTCGATCCTCATCCGCATCCTTCACGGGGCACAGCCAGTTCCGCAAGTCAATACCAGTTTGCACCTTAAGCCTACTTCCATAGCGGCCTTGAAGACTCCATCCTCGATAGCCATCTTCAAAATCCTATTCTCTCAGTAGACCGACACGCGCGTCCGTCCTCTCGAGCCATATAGAAAGTGTCGTATCTGCAGTCCGCCCACCCAGTCTTCCGTCGCTTCCATTATATGCTGCGCCCCACGGATTGTCAAATCCATTTCGCGCTACCTTGTAAGATCTCTCTGACAAGGCCGACCGTGTCTCGCAGGAGTTTGCCCAGTTGTATCCTCTCTGTACCCAGAACAGCCAAGCAACACAGTGTTGTCCCTCCTACTAACCAAAGTACCTCGTCGTTCTCTGTGTGGATTCAAGCATGCTGGGTCGTGCCGTGTCGTTCGTGGTTTTGCTTTTGACTCTGTCGTTTGTGTATCCTCAGACCCAGCGATATCCTCCTTTCAACAGAGCAGCCCGAGAGCACCCCAGGGTGTCCTATCCCACGACCCTAGTGTCCACTGATTGTAGGATCGGTTTCGCAGTCGTGTGTCGGGTGGTTTTCAAAGTGTTCCCTTGTCGCCTGTGCGTGGGGTCAGGCAGGGCCCCTGACCCCTGAGCTCTCGCTCCCGCCGTAGCCCTAGCCAGCGGACAGTGCTGGCCAGTGGTGACTCTTCTTAGCTCTGCGAATACATCCCAGGCAAGGCATTCACAGGTTCCCAGCCGGCACCACGTGGAGGTGAGAGTCGTCGCCAGCCGGCTTTATGTACAGAGGATTTCGAAAACAGTTTACCCCCCAGACACACACGCTTTCTTTCCCAGCGCCCCACTCAGAATGCGCTAATCTAAATTTGGCTAGCTGAGGTACCTTCCTTGAGGCGTAACACCGTATTATTGGCTGCCGGGGAATCTGAAACCCAGCGATCCGGACTAGACGTCCTTGTGGGTCTCTGGGAAAAGAAAGAAGGGTGTGTCTGGGGATAAACTGTTTTCGAAATGCTCTGTATGGGCTCTGAGGAGACACAGTACTATATATATTATGGCATGTATAGTAGATCAGAGATAGTTGCCCTTGATGATGATGATGATGATGATGATGATGATGATGATGATGATGATGATGATATTTCTTATACCTAATGGAGCCTGCCTAAGCGTGCGGTAAGCTATGTAGGTCGGTGCACCCGGACTGGCACCACAAGAAACCTTCTTTAACGCCGAATTCCCAATAGAAATGACCGGACGGGGTCTGTCCTAGTGCTTTAAAGCGACCGAGTGACCAATTGTTCAGTATGTTGTATTTTTGTTCAATGCAATCCAGGGCGCCCCCTGGAACTCAGATCGTACTTTGTTGAGCTTTGCAGAACTGTTACACCTTTTCTCAATCTAGCTACCACAGAGGGGACATCCTTCTTTCCTAGCGGCCCCGAGATAAACGGCTAGTACTTCGGAAGGTAAGCTGAAAGGCTAGACCGGTGACAGTTTTCCCCACCCGCCTTTTATTGCGTACCGCAGTAGCTACCCCTACCCCGGGTCTACCATCCAGGTCCTAGCCAAGTCAACCAAGGCGTAGGCTTTCTTCAGTAGGTGCCTCTTGGGTAAAAGTTGTGAAAGTGACAGGATTCGAACCCGCAGTCCCTACGTTCCGTGCTAGGACCCCAGCTAGCATTTTCGCGTAAGACCTAACCAGTGACGCACTACTGTTTACGCCACACACCCCCAGATAGTTGCCCTTTCAGCTTAGCCGCCGGACGTTAGTAAATTGTGTGTGTACATGAAGGAAGAGTTTTGGCTAATGACTGTATACCCCGAACAGCTGATAGCACACAAAAAGGTATTGAGTGAGTGAGAGATGAGCTCGCAGCATCCAGACGCCAGAGGAGGCTGGAAGCCCAAGCCTCTCTCAGCCCTACGTCGTCCTTCGCTCCTCCTCAAATCCGCTAACCCCTCTGCTCCACCCAACCGAACTACCCCACATCCCAACGACGAACCTCCCCACCAAATCCCGATCACCTACTCCACCATCGCAGCTAGAGCTCTCTCGTTTCATAGACAAGTGCTTACCGACGTCACTCCTCTCCAACTTTCTCAGAATGGCTTGTATTGCAAGCCCTCAAGATCTGGAGGATCAGCGTGCTGTTTTGCCTGCGGATCGACTATCCTCTTATACACACTCCAGGATAATCCCATTGAAGAGATGCAACAACTCCATTTGGCAGACTGCATATGGCAGATCATCTGTCGCGATTTGAAGCCTACCTTTGAAATGCCCAACATGGTCACCCCCTCAGACACCGCATCTCCATCTCAACGACCACCTCCCGAATCAGCGCCAGCATCCACTCTGCCAGATGAACCTTCAACCATGAACATCGATACAGCCCCCGAACAGTCCACTACGATACCTGAACCAGGACCGCAACAACCTCAACCGACCTACTCTTCTAAAGTCTCTCAGCCTCCTCAACCTCTCTACTCAACACCCCTCGTTACCTCCACACCAGACCAACAACCTACCTATGCCTCAGTTTTGCAACGCCCCAAACCTTGTCTATCGCAACCAACTTCCAATACCTATCAATCCGTACCTTCTCCTAAACGCACACTTACAATCGAAGACCTTTATCGCCGTTTCCACAACAAACCATCGCCATTCCAACTCAACAAGAAAACCAGCAAGAGCTCAGCTAGTCGAGCTCGCAACCAAAAAGCATCTGCTTCACAGTCTCTCGCTAGGTTTTTAATCTCAGCTTTACCAGCATTCTCAAGGCTCCTAGCCGAGATGCAGCCAGCCGCAGACGATTGTTGGCGGCCTTATCGAGGAACTCATTATAGCCGCGCCATGAAGGCAGCCTAACACCATGAACGGCAAGCTGGGCACGACTGGCCTTATCAGGTGAGGCTCAAAGTTCACCGCTCAGGAAGTTTGGAACAATCTCCGTGGAACACAAATGCATGTATTTACGCAGTAGTTGTAGCCTGCATATCGTAGCTATAGTTGGATCCCAGGTCACGTGATGTATATAGATCTATAGGAGTGGCTGCCTGTTAGGCAGACACTCCGCTAGGCAGCAGGGATGAGCTGCTGCAACTACAGATAGCTGGATCTCTTCATATAGAAGAATCATCACACTTGTACTTTAATCCAGGGTTCAACCGCTATTCAACGTAAACGATAGTCTGGCACTAGTATCATTGCTAAGCCAGAAATGCTTCCGAGATAAGATCTACAATCAACCTCTTGAACTGCATCCAAATATACGAACAAAAAGAATCACCCCAAGGCCACAAATCACTGGGCTCGTAATCGCTTTGACCGACGTGGCGTATATCTAACACTAGACGCTTTCGATTTGCCTGGCCGTCCTTTACCCTTCTGCTGCCCCCCAGGCTGTTCTTCTGGGCGCCTAATTTTTCGAGACGAGCGCGTCGCATGCTGTGATGAAGATTCCAGCTTAGGACCAGGTTCTATATTTGCCGCCTTTGCTGTTCCCCTCGTTACTCGCCGTGCAGAATTCTCCGCCGAATTTGAGTCAGTGGTCGTCACTGGGCATCCAGAAGAGGAGGCGGAAATGTCGGTTTTTGACGGGCAGGCTGATGGCTTCACGACGGTGATAGGGCCGGGTCTCATCAATCGAGGATCAATGTTTGTCATATCAAAATCGACAGAGGAGGCGGGAGTTTCAGTGCTTTGCCGATTCTCTGATTCCATAGATGTTTCCCTGGAAGAACCGTCACCGTGGCTAACCCGTGGCCTTTCGGTGAGATGACATAGTTTAATATTGATATCGTATTTGTGTTCTTTATTAGCATGGGCTAAAAATTCGGTGATTTTGGCAAACTTGGGAAGAGTGCGACATGCTTCCCAGTTGCAGCTGATCCCGTCGTGGGCATGAAGCAGATGAGAGTCGATGAGATGACGACGAAGTGAGTCCGGTCGCTTGGAAGGAAATTTATGCGGAGGAGGGTTCGACGCCGAGCGACGAGATTCACCAAAGCAGATGATGCAAACATCTGTTGGACATATTTGCGTATCATCATCAGACGCCAGTTGCTCGAGCTGTTCAATAGGTATGTTTGCCTCTTCATCGAGATCCCAATTAACACGGTTGCCTCGCCTGCTCGGCTCGCAAAGCAGTAGAAGCGCAACCATGTCCTTGGTAACCTGAATGCGTCGACTAAGTAATTTGTCCACATGGAAGTCTTCTGCGTCAGGACCGTAAAAGTTCTCCACAAGCCGAGCTCGTTCAGGAAATACGTAGTCTGGGATAGGGAGCTCCCAGTCTTCTTCAGCGGAACTATCAGCATCGCGTTCCTCAACATCAGATTCGCCGAGAAGCATTTGCTTGATCTGTCGGTCAACTTCAATCACGGGAGCATTATTAAAATAGTCCTTTCTGGCTGTCTCGCGAGTTTCGATCGCCAATGTTTTCCGAAGTTTGGCCAGGTCTTTTTTGACAGTCTCATGCCTTTGGAAGAGGTGTGGAAAGGTGTCACGGGCGTTCTTGATTGTGCCAGCCACGGACCGCATCTCCGCCATAAGCTCTCTTTTCTCGCGTCTCAGTTGCAAAATTTCAGGGTTTTGGCAAATAGCACGTTTATGAGCTTCGGTAAGATCAGATGGTGCCGATAAATCTCTCTTCCTAAGCATGCTCCCAGCGAAGCGTACCAGACCTTCTTGGGAGGGCCGAAGAAGAACGACATGCTGAAGGTCGCGCGCAATAAATTGTGATTGGTAATGCTTTTCAAACACCGCGTCACCAGACTGCCCGAGCACCCTTTGTCGCTCCTGGCTGGTAAAATTTTCTGCGAGTAGATAGTCAGCTCCGTTGCGAGTGACCCATCTATCGTAGCGAAAATGAATCCATCATATCGCGTTCAGCAAGTGACTTACTGTTGACTTCATTTGCCGTCCAGCGGCGGTAATTGTAATGCCCAATATCGTCTTCAAATCTAGCATCTCGACTCAACTCCTTGAGCGCCTGCCGACTTGAATCATAGGTCATTGGCAAAGACCCATCGAGTCTGTAGCCGTATGGAGTGCGTTCAAGACGTCGAAGGAGAGGCACATTAAGAATCTCGGGCTTCCACCGGAGGGGAAGAGATGAACTGCCTCTTGGAACTCGTAGCCGCCAAATGAGCTCTGGTGTGAGGTCGGCATTGGCAAAAGCTCCATCGCGGAAAGCGAACGCAATGATCTGAGCTATCGGGCAATATGCCAGTTGATAATCGCCATGCATGAAGAATTTGGTTCTGTTGGCAAGGATCAGTATCGGAGTTGGTTCATGAGAAATTCGATTCAAAATTTCAGCTTACCCATCAGCGCCTTCCGGTCGACCTTTGAGGTTGCGAAACTCGATGATGGCACAGAGGACATCACGTTTACTTTGAAGGTCTTTCAGGTAGAAAAGTTCGATATCGCGATAGCAGACCGAGTCCGGAAGGTCTTTCAAGGAAATGTGCTTTGGAAGATCACTCTGGAAGGTGTCATCCCGTTTGCGTTTGCCCAAAACTGGATTGCCAGGCGACGAGGTGTCTTGAGGAAGCAAGACGCCAGGTCGCGTGCCTGTAATGGCGGACCAAAGCTGGACTGTAGCAAACTGAACAATCATGCTCCCGTGACGGAAGAATCTCGAATGGACCCAGTGATGTCGGTAAATCACGCCAAAAGCATCCACATCTAGAGTATTTTTGTCCTTTGTTCGTCGGGGAATTTTGCGCTCGGCTGGGAATACACCTTCGAGAAACTTTTCCAAGGTAAGCATACTCTGTTTAGGAACAGACAGGATATAACTTACTCGTCGCATCTGTTGACGGGCATCCTCACCGACGCGGCGACGGGCGAATAGCTCGAAGTATTGACAAAGACGTCGCCAGTATTCATCATACGACTGAAGCAGTTTCTTTCGTGATGTTTTAAACATCCAATCAAAAAAGTTCATGTAGATCGTCTGATCCTCCAAAAGAAGAAAGTCCACATAATCCTCGTTCGATTGAATGCAATATCTATTCCCGTGTTATTCTCAGTCACAAGACTTTTCCCGACCAAGTGAGCACTCACTTTCGCCAATAACGTTCGACGACAGCGATGCCTTCTAAGGTCTTTGGCTTAAAGTTTGGAGGGAGCCATCCAAGACTGCGAAAATGTTCCAGTCTGGCTCGAGTTTCCTCGCAAAGAATGGGATCGGTCCAGTATTGGTGCTCATCAGTTTGAGCCGGCTGTACAGGCGTAGGTGCCATGGAGGAGGTCAGATACAAAGACTAGGGTGGAAATTCGTGGTATGGGAAACGACAACGTCAAGGTCGGCTTGAGGCGTGGACAATGAGGATGAGAGAATGGGAGGTGCAAGGACACCGGAAGGGAGGGAAGGCGAAGCATCTTATAGGCGCTCAAATGAACTGGTCGAAAAGGGAGGGGACTTGGATTCAGCTGAAGGGGAGCCATTTTCGGCGTCGTCTTGGTCGCCAGTGGAAACGAGGGGAACACTGTGCAAGTCGAGCGTCAACATCAGGACCGGAGGATGACTAATGGTGCTAGGTGGGTGCAGAATAGTGGTGTTACGGGGCAGTGGGCGGTCAAGGGGCGGCTGGACAGCCAAAGTTACGGGTGGAAAGGAAGCCGTTTCTGGCGTCAAAAGTGGTCATTTTCGGCGTCATTTTCACAGGTCCTCATATTCTATATGTAATTTTCGGTAATTTTCGAAATCACGATGACATAGTCTTCAACTCTCTTTGAAATTGATATATAGTACAAATGCGTCTTATCTATGTCCATCGATAAATAAGGAGCTAAAGCTTAAACGTGGTTGTTGAGATACTACGTTGTAATTCATCCGATTTAGTACTCGGGCCCTTCCAATGCTTAGCTAAGCTAGTCGCCCCAATCACCTTCGGTGTTGGGGCTCCGGTTTTAGACCATACTTTCGGGCCCTTCCAGAGAACCACATTGATTCGCATCTTATCAGCTTTCAGGACAGTGGCCACCACGACTCTGGAAATAGAAGCACATGTCTTGCCAACGCACCTCCGCCTCCGCCACCGAGCGCAGAACACCATCGCAAACCTTCACACTCTGCCGCGCGATCATCCTATCTGGGATACACTGCGGCGAGCCCAGAAACGTAGGAACAACATCGGGTCGTACGCTCGTTTCCCACTGGCAGAAGCCCTGAAGACTATGAACCTAGAAAGATTAGATGAACTAGAGACGATCGACCCACGACCACTGCCACCATGGCGAACCGAGTCCTTCACGGAGATTGAGGTCGGATCAGACCGAGAGACGGCAAGAGAACGGGCTGAGACCGTGCGGTCCACATCCGCCATCGTGGTCTACTCCGACGCTTCGGGCCGTGAAGGCCACCTGGGGGCCGCTGCCGTAGCACTTGACAACAACTTGGAGGTTGTCGAATCCCACCAGGTTCAGGTGGGACCGACGGACCGTTGGTCAGTTCACGTAGCAGAACTGATTGGCATTTTCTACGCTGTCAGTACAGTGTTTAAGATCAGCCATCAGCGGCCAAGAACGGATCATAATAGAATAGCGACTGCAACGATCCTCTGCGACAGCAAATCAGCCCTGCAAGCAATCCAGAACCCGGGAAACAAATCAGGACAACGCATCACCCACGCGATCCTCCAGGCAGCTGCAGAAGTTCAAGCAAAGGGTATCGTGCTCCGTCTCCAATGGATACCCGGACACTGCGACAATCCAGGAAACGACGCAGCAGATCGGCTGGCCAAAGACGCGGCAAGCCCGGGCAAAACGCACCCCTTCCGCCCGTTGCTGACAAGGAAGAAGGGTTTTATCCGAGACACCATCCGCGCTCAGTGGGAGCGGGAATGGAAAACATCTACCAAAGGCGGTCACCTGCGAAAACTTGATAGCACGCTACCGGCGGCCTACACCAGGAAGCTGTACGGGAACTTACCTAGGGGCCGGGCATACCTGCTGACACAGCTTCGCACGGGACATAATTGGCTATCTACCTATGCCAAGACCTTCGGCTTCAGCGACAATGATCAGTGCGTGTGCGGCGCGCAAGAAACAGTCACCCACGTGCTAGTGGACTGCCCAAACCTGAGAGACATTCGACGGAAGTTAAGGAGTGAAGCTGGGGACGCGTTCAACAGCGTATCGAGTCTGCTGGGAGGCTCAACGGAAGGTGAGAGAGGTAAACCAGACACCGTCTCGCGGGCTAGGACGGTCAAGGCCGTGCTAGACTTCGCTGAGGCGTCACAACGATTCAAAAGTCGCGCGCCATGAGGGGCAGCCTAATAAAGTGAACGGCACCTGGGCCACGACAGGCCTTGATGAGGCTCTAAATTCGTTTTCAGGAAGTGGGACATCATACATGTACATACAGGGATATATATAGTTGCTGTATCCTGTATATCGCTTTGCGAGTTGGATTATAAACCATATCCCACTAGTCTGGGTACGGATTCGTATTTTAGTCTAGCTGGGAAATCAACTGGTTATGAGCCCGGATTGCACGACTTTTGAGCGCGCCGGTTCGATCCTCACAGTTTGCGTTCTTGAGCAGCCAGAGCCACCAGAAGACGGCCTATGATTGGTCGCACAGCCAGGCAGCAGAGCTTCATACGCGCCCCCAGCCAAGCGTCTATGGTTTACGGGGGAGAGTTGGATTATAAACCATATCCCACTAGTCTGGGTACGGATTCGTATTTTAGTCTAGCTGGGAAATCAACTTTGCGAGAGGTCGGGGTAAATGAATTCTACTACTACTACTACTTTCGGGCCCTATTTTGGTGCCTAACCATACTTTTCACCCACCTCGTAAAACGTCAATTTTCGTAGCATTTTTGTATAGCAAATTGCTGCCATAAATATTGCATTCAAAAGAGCATTGCGTAAGCTATTTAATGTAAGCAAATCAGAACGCAATGCATCTAATATTGGCCTTACCATGACGTTTTCCCGCTAATATCTCCATGAAATAGCTCATTTTTCGACCATTTCTCGCTACCATGTCGGATGAAAATGAGCTCAAAATCGCCAATGCATTGGCCGCTTACCATGACCATAATGAGCCGAAGATCAAACCATTGGCAAGGGAATTCGACGTTAGTTACCAGACCCTGCTAGGCCGTATTCCGGGTGCCGGGTCAGCAATTGGCCGACCTGCCACCAATAAGGCATTGGACTCGGTCCAAGAAAAAGCATTGCTTGACTGGATTGACTTTATGGATAGCTGCGGCGCCGCCCCCGACGGCAGCATCGATACAGCAGCGCGCCGATGACATTATTCATCGATCAAACCCGGACAGGAAGCCTCTTTGGCATGGCTGGGGCCTCGCATTCACTAACCGACTGCCAAAGCTTACACCCCACCTCCATTTTATTAAGCAGAAGCCGAAGGACCCGAAGCGAATGGGCGCCGAGGACGTAGGTCTTACGGAGATGTGGTATGACCGCCTAGAGCAGTGTATTAAGCAGTATGGGTTTCGACCGAAGGACATCTATAATATGGATGAAACCGGCTTCCGAATCGGCGAAGGAAAGGCTCAAAAAGTGGTATCTGCTTCACCTATTAGCTTCACTGCAACCGGAGGCCATGGCGAGAGTATTACCGCTATTGAATGCATTGCTGCCGATGATTGGAAGACGCCGCCGTGGTTTCTAGTGAAAGCTCAGTATCACCAGGAAAGCTGGTATATTGACGAAATGCCTGATGATTGGACGATAAAACCAACACCAAAGGGCTATTCGTCTCATACCACAGCATTAGAATGGCTAGACTCATTTATCGAGGCCACAAACCACCGAGTCTATCGCCATAAATACGCCGAAAGTGATGATGAGATAGCGGAAGCTCGTGGCCATGGCGGTCGCCGTCGATACGGCCAAGATGCAGCTATTCGCCGAGAGATAAAAGCGATACGCGAAGAAGCAGACCGCGTACACTGCCGAGGTTATCGCCTTCTTCTTTTCGATGGCCATAAGTCTCACTGTACGCCTGAATTCATCCTAAAATGCTGGGAAAATCGCATTGTTCCGTACGCCTTCCGGCCGCATGTCTCCCATATATGCCAGCCCCTCGATTCGGTTCCATTTCAACGGTATAAAGCGCTATATCGGAGAAATAATGTCGAGGTTGCCCAACGGGGTGGCTCGGTATCCCGGAAAGTAGATTTTTTTCGCGAAATCGTTAAGGTTCGAGAGGTGATGGATGCTCTCTCGGAGCACGTCATTAAGGAAGGTTTTCGCCTTGCTGGAATCGTCCCTATTGATGCGCAATTAGCCATGGAGCAAGAGACCAGAGATGCTAATGATGAGACTAATGATATATGGGTAGACGGCTTTCCTGATAGATATGGAGACGGAGTTGAAGCTCAAGACCGCGAGCTAGCTAGCTCTATCACTATGTCACCGCCGTGAGACGTACTAGACACGAAATCGACGTCTCAGAACCTCCTCAATGGTATCGCCGCTGCTCGACGCCGTCTAGCTACCCTTAAGCGGACGGCCACGTCAATAAGGAAGAAGAATAATGAGAGTGCTAAGGAGAGAAATCATCGCGAGGACGGAGAGAGACGTCGTCTAAAGAGCTTCCTATCTATCGTGGAGAGATTTTTGCACCGGTCTACGCTTATTTGTAGTACTGCAGGTAGGTTTCTCGCTTCCTCGCCGTTATTTTACGTGTATCTAACCTTTAGTATAGGAAATTCGACGGAGAGCCTTGCCCAGTTCCGTGCCGACAATCAGCTTCTTCTTACCCATACCCACAATCGGACGACGAGGCCCTCTGGCCGGCAGATCAGGATAGTTGGACCACTCACAAAAGGCGATGCAAATAAGGATATACGCAAGCGAGAGCAAAGAGAGAGAGATCAGGCTGAGAAGAAGGCGATATCGCTAGGTACGAAAGCGGCTAAGAACCCTATGCCAGCAGAGCTTCTTGCGAGGGTGAATGCCAGCCTAAATACGCCGGCGCCGCCGCCACCGATGCCACCCCTGCCAATGCCTAAATCGAGTTCACCGAGAAAGCGAGGAAAGTGGAGATAAAATTGGAGATAAAACTGGAGAAAAACGAGAGAGAAATGGCTGAGAAATGCATGTACGCCAAGAGCATGAGGAATACTGCGAAGATCCTACCAATATAATATGTATTGCATTCTGATTTTGTTGGTATCACCAGCTAGGTACCGTGTACACAGTTAAGTGAACAGTGTTTATGCTCCTAAAGCGAAAGTTGATTGATTCATGTAGATAGATCTATCTCCTCAGTCTAGTTGGGAAACACCCCTGGATCCTACACGCCGGCCCTCGGCGGTCACAACACGGGGGCCGCAGCCTGGTGCAAGAATGCGTTCACCAAGCAAGGGATGATATCCGGCAGTCGCCAGCAGTAAGTTACCGCTAGCTTGTTCAGATAGAAGGATATATCCCGACATATTTACTTACATTAAATAGCTGAGGCAATGCTCTTTTGAATGCAATATTTATGGCAGTAATTTGCTATACAGAAATGCTACGAAAATTGACGTTTTACGAGGTGGGTGAAAAGTATGTTTAGGCACCAAAATAGGGCCCGAAAGTATGGTCTAAAGCCGGAGCCCCAACACCGAAGGTGTCTGGGGCGACTAGCTTAGCTAAGCATCGGAAGGGCCCGAGTACCAGAGGGAATAACTGGGGCTATATATACACAAAGAGAATAGCCGTGTCACGGGACGACCCCCCACCCTTCGGGTAGGGGGTGTCCCACAGCCATAATGCAATTAACCTCCATAATGCAAATTTCCTACCTTTTCAACTTTTACGCGTATTCCTACCCACCTAAAATGCCTAAAAAAACTCGTGATGAAGAGGATCTGCTAGCTAAGGCATTACATGCTTATACTACGCGAGAATTTTCATCACTACGTAAGGCTGCGGACCATTATCGCGTGTCTTATTCGAAGCTTCGCGGTCGCAAAAACGGACAGACATCTCTCTCCGATCGCCCTACCACCAATAATGCATTGAATTTGAATCAGGAAAATGCATTAATTAGCTGGATCGAAGTGCTAAATTCTTGCTATACACCTCCAACTGCAAAAGACATTGAAATTGCCGCAAATCGCCTGTTGAAAATAGCGGGTTCGGAGAGAGTTGTTAGTTCAATGTATAGCTATCGGCTTATACGGCGTCTACCTCCACACATCAAGCTTATTACCCAAAAATCAAAGGAGTCTTTACGAATTCAAGCCGAGGATCCTGGAGTTATTAGCCATTGGTACGATAGGCTTGAGTATCTCTACCGTGAGCATGGTTTTGAACCTCATGAGATCTATAATTGGGATGAAACCGGCTTCCAAAATGGCGAAGGACTTAACCAACACGTCGTCTCTACGCGTCAAACTGCTAGTATTGCTACTGGAGATCGAGGTGAAACTATTACTGGCATTGAATGTATTGCCGCTGATGGCTGGGTGATGTTTCCGTGGTTTCTAGTCAAAGGCAGCGTCCACATGGAAGACTGGTATAGTAATATGTCAACCTCTTCTTCGGCGTACAAAATTATCCATTTGACGTCTAGTGGCTGGACGGATAGTGAGACTGCTTACCGATGGCTATGCTCAGTTCATGAAGCCACAAAAAACCGCGTACGACGCGGGCGACCGAGGCTTTTGCTAATGGATAATCATGCGTCTCATACAACTATCGAATTTCTCGATTTTTGTAAGGAAAACCTGATTATTCCTTGGTATTTTGTACCTCACACGACTCATATATGTCAGCCCCTTGATGCTGAGGCTTTTTTAAGCCTAAAACATAAGTTTAAAATGGCGAATACTGAGGTTGTGGCGTGGGGTGGAAGTAACGAAAAACGCGACTTTTTCCGCAACATTGACGCCGTCCGACGCCACGCCTTAAGGTCCAAAACTATCCAAACCTCGTTCAAATCTACTGGTATCTGGCCACTAGATCCGACACAAGTTTTGGGTAATTTAGGGCAATATTCGGACGAAGAGACCTTACGCATATACGACGAGCCGTCACCTACCCGCGAATTCCCAAGTTCAGCGACCAATTCTCCGCCCAATTCTTATGCGCGTATTGAAAAATTGGAGAAGACAGTTTTCCCGCTACTTGATAACCCGAATCCTGATTTACGTAAAATTCGGAAGCATATACGGCGCGCAATTGATGCCGGAAAATCGTCTCTATACAATGCGGAACTTGCTGAGATGAGCCTTGCGCGCGCCCTTAGCCATAAAACGCCTGGGAAAAAACCTACAAAAAGCAAGCGATGGGTAAAGGGTGCTACAAAGAGTCCCCTTTCATCGATTTCAGGCAATAGGCTAGTACAGCGAAGGTGTGAGAAAGAAGATGAGTCGAAGCTTCGTGCTTAGCGGAAAGACGCAGAGAAAATGGCGGCCGATTTGACAGCTAAGGAATTGGAGGAAACACTTGAAAATGAGGAGGATGATACATTATTGGCTACTGAGGCTATTGATGGGCTTTATTTCATGGATCCTAGACCTTATACGTCTAAAAAATGAGCTAGAAGTTGAAGAAATTGAAAATTTGCATTATGGCTGTTAATTGCATTATGGCTGTGGGACACCCCCTACCCGCGAGGGTGGGGGGCGGTCCTGTGACACGGCTATCAAGTTGATTGGAAATCAACTTGTTTCTTTGTATGGACACCTCGGGGTTAATTCCGATGGTACGGCTGGGTTCACTCAATTCGTCCGAAACCCTGGAGTGAAGCCTCAGGCCCCGTCGCAACCTTAACTGGCCCAGTTCCCACACTCGATCAAAACATTTCCAATTTCAATCGCCTTTTTCTCGATAACTACTAGGCTGTGCATACTCCGCAGCGAATAGCGGATTTTTTAACCGGTCTATTATGACTTACTAAAATTTGAGCTTAATCGGAGACCACCAGACCTTAGCAGTCTAGTGGCGAACTTCACCTGCAGTCTATCGGCCGACCCACTTTTCCTGCCGCATTTAAGCAAAAATGTCACGTGTATCTATATCCACTCTTCGTATTTAATCTTGTTTTCCCGTACCATTCTTGACCCCTTTGGTTTGACGAAAAAACCTAGCCTGAAATTTACTAGTCTGCAGCACCCCCCGTGTGATAGAGATCTATGTACTCAGACTTATCCATTGAGCCCTCAACGCCACCTGGGAAGCGTTACATCAACATGTCTAGAGTCTCCACAATAGGACCAGTGTAGATCTTGCGGGCGCGCATAAAGTAATACAGCGTGGCAAGAACGGTACAGCCGCCGATACCGACGACGCTATAGTTCATGTCATCGAGCCTGGGGTTCATTTTCGAGGGCCAGAAGCTGAAAAAAATGATTATAGTGGTATAGATGACGGCAAAGAGATTCACCAAAGTACCAAAGACACCAGGGCAACGGAATGTTCCCCAGACCAGCTTCGAACCAGGCACATTGATAATGTCGTCCTCGTTGTCGTTGTAGAGGTTAATGTCTCCCCGGACGCGGCGGAAGAGAAGGAGGGCAGAAATCACGAGGTATGACAGGTACAGGCCAGAAACGGCCATAGACAGGATGTCTCCTAGAGCCACACTGGAGCCAATGTTGATAAGGGCCAGGAGAGTAGAGATGGCGACGGAAACCATGACAGCATAGATCGGTAACTGGTTGGTTGGAGAGACCTAAAGACAATGACGATGAGTTGAGTGAACGACTTGTGCAGACAGCACCATTGTTATTTGCTTACTTTGCTCCACCAAATCCATCCAGGGACACCCCTGTCTCGGGCGAAGGACCAGAGCTGACGGGACGCGGCGGCCAGCAGCCCCATCATCGAGCAGCAGTAAATGATCAGGACAATCGAAATCATGGCCAAAGTCCACGGCAGCGAATTAGTTGCTTGGAAGAAGATCGCCATGAACGGGTATCCCGTGGGTGACTGCAGCTCGGACTTCAGGTCGCCGGCGCTGAAGAGAATGGCAATCAACATGCCGAACCCCAGGCAGCCGTTGATACCGACACTCAGCATGAGAGCCTGGGGGACGATGCGCGCCGCATTTCCGATCTCCTCGGCCATCTAGCTCGAAGATGGTTAGCTACGAGCATAGAACAGCTTCCGAGCAACTCAACACTTACGTGGACCGCGGCATCGCCGCCAGCGAACGTAAAGCTTAGGCTGGTCATCCCAACAAACCATGACAGCCCCTGGGTGGCAAATTCACCACCGTTCTGGAACGACAGGAAAACATCGTGGGTCGCCGCGTGGTCAGACATGTACACTAAGGGAATAATGACGACGAAGAATCCAAGGACGTGCAGAACTAGGATGACGGCTTCAAGTCGGGGCAGAAGCTTTCCACCAGCCAGATTCACCAACATTGCGACCAGCAAAGCCAGCCAAACAATCAACGTTCCCTGCCACGGCAGGGCATCATACTT